GCAGGTACCGCATGATGTCCAGCAGCCGCAGCAGGAAATCCCTCCTGCGCCAGCCTGACAGGGGCACGGTGGTCAGGAGGTGCATCACAGCTGTCTTCACGGTATAGGTGGAAGAGCCTCTGCACATCAGGACGCGGGCGCAGAGCTGCAGGCATTTGAGGTGGACGCTGTCCTGTGGTGCACGTGTGGCCATATGCCTGAAGAACTTCACCTCTGCCACAGCATAGCTCTCCGACCACATCAGGCTTGGGGTGAAGATGGTGTCTATAGTCCGGCTGATCACAAAGATGTCCGAGTCGCGTCGCTGCACCCCAAATATCATCTCAATCCAGAGGCTTTTGTTGTCGCCGTTGGCCACCTGGAATTTGCAGGAGCGGCTGGAGGGCAGCACCGTTAGACGGTATTTCCTCGACTGAGGCAAAACCACCCAGACATCTTTCAGCCAGTCTTGTAACCAGAGGGCAGTTTTCTGCACATCTAGGTAGGACCCGGTGCAGAGGGTGTCTAGGAGGCTGGGCTCCTGATTTCTGCTCAGCTCCTCCTCGGGGCCGTGGAGGAAGCACGGCATCTCTCCTGCCAGCTGCTCGTTCAGGCAGGTGCACAACAGTCCCACGCGGATGCAGAAGTTCCTCTCCGGCATCTCCCCTGCGTTGTCCTGCTCCAGGTGGAAGAAGTGCCCATGGGGGGACTTCAGGGGCACGAGCAGGCGGTAGATGACGTCTTCCTCACGGGGACTCCAACCTTCAAAGGCACTGCCCACCCCGATGGCTGGCTGCAGCACTGGGAAGAAACTGTTTGAGAAGAGCGTTTGCATGACAAGGATGAAGTGATTGACCAAGAGCTTCACCTCGCAGCACTCTGTGGCCAAGTAGTGAGCTGGCGACCGTGTGTGCTCATCATAAAACCTTTGCAGGTCATATGCATCATCATTGCCTTCTTCTTCCTCCTCCTCCTCCACCACCTGCACCCCGTCGCTGCTGGAGCTCTCTTCATCGCTGCTGCTGTCTGGCTCATGGCTCCTTTTCCTGAGC